AGACAAACACGAACATATCGCAGCCTCCCAAAATACACACACATACACTACACGCATGCATCTTGCACACAGGGGAGGCCGTCCTTAAATGACCTTAGCTGTTAATAGGACGTTAAACAAAATCAAACAAACAAACAAACAAACTGATGACCATACATCTAGTGTGTCAAAACTAGTCAACGTATTCTTGATTAAAGTCGTTTAACCCAGCACGATGTTGTCATGGACATCGTTACCTATTGATAACTTTACTACGTCCGGACTCGTGTATTCCTTGTTAAATCTGTCTGCTGGGTAACACAGAACTCCACTGAACTGCTGGGTAACACAAAACTCCACTGAACTGTTGGGTAACACAGAACTCCACTGAACTGCTGGGTAACACAGAACTCCACTGAACTGCTGGGTAACACAGAACTCCACTGAACTACTGGGTAACACAGAACTCCACTGAACTGCTGGGTTACACAGAACTCCACTGAACTACTGGTTAACACAGAACTCCACTGAACTGCTGGGTAACACAGAACTCTACTGAACTGCTGGGTAACACAGAACTCCACTGAACTACTGGGTAACACAGAACTCTACTGAACTGTTTGGTTACACAGAACTCCACTGAACTACTGGGTAACACAGAACTCCACTGAACTACTGGGTTACACAGAACTCCACTGACCTGCTGGGTTACACAGAACTCCACTGAACTGTTGGGTAACACAGAACTCATCTGAACTGCTGGGTAACACAGAACTCATCTGAACTGCTGGGTAACACAGAACTCCACTGAATTGCTGGGTTACACAGAACTCCGCTGAACTGTTGGGTAACACAGAACTCCACTGAACTACTGGGTTACACAGAACTCCACTGAACTGCTGGGTTACACAGAACTCCACTGAACTGTTGGGTAACACAGAACTCCAATGAACTGCTGGGTTACACAGAACTCGACTGAACTGTTGGGTAACAAAGAACTCCACTGAACTGCTGGGTTACACAGAACTCAACTAAACTGCAGGGTAACGCAGAACTCCACTGAACTGCTGGGTAACACAGAACTCCACTGAACTGCTGGGTAACACAGAACTCCACTGAACTGTTGGGTAACACAGAACTCATCTGAACTACTGGGTAACACAGAACTCCACTGAACTGCTGGGTAACACAGAACTCCACTGACCTTCTGGGTAACGCAAAACTCCACTGATATACTGGGTAACACAGAACTCCACTGAACTGCTGGGTTACACAGAACTCCACTGAACTATTGCACGGACGTTGGATCTCCCACTACCCGTATAATGTTTATGGGTTAAAACTTCACAGTGAGTGACCTTACCTGAGGAGTGACCTTACATGTGAGATGACCTTTTCATTCAGTGACCTTACCATTCAGTGAGATGACCTTTTCATTAAGTGACCTTACCTGTGGAGTGACCTTACCTTGGGAATGATCTTATCATTTAGAAACCTTACCATTCAGTCACCTTACCTGTGGAGTGACCTTATCTGTGGAGTGACTTACCTGTGGAGTGACCTTACCTTGGGAATGATCTTATAATTAGAAACCTTACCATTCAGTCACCTTACCTGTGGAGTGACCTTACCTGTGGAGTGTCCTTTTCATTCAGTAACCTTATCTGGGAAGTCACCTTACCTTTCAGTCACCTTACCTGTGTAGTGACCTTACCTGTGTAGTGACCTTACCTGTGTAGTGACCTTACCAGTGAAATGACATTACCATTCAGTAACCTTACCTGGGGAGCGACCTTACCTTTCAGTCACCTTACCTGTGGAGTGACCTTGCCTTGGGAATGATCTACCTTACCTTGGGAATGATCTTATCATTTAGTGACCTTACCATTCAGTGACCTTACCTGTGGAGTGACCTTACCTTGCGAATGATCTTATCATTTAGAAACCTTACATGTGGAGTGATTTTACCTGTGGAGTGACCTTACCTGAGGAGTGACTTACCTGGGGAGTGATCTTATCATTTAGTGACCTTACCATTCAGTGACCTTACCTTTCAGTGACCTTACCTGTTGAGTGACCTTACCTGTGGAGTAACCTTACCTGTGGAGTGACCTTACCTGTGGAGTGACCTAACCTGTTGAGTGACCTTACCTGTGGAGTATCCTTACCTGTTGAGTGACCTTGCCTGTGGATTTATCTTACCTGTGGAGTGCCCTTACCTGTGGAGTGACCTAACCTGTGGAGTGACCTTACCTGTGGAGTGACCTTACCTGTTGAGTCACCTTACCTGTTGAGTGACCTTACCTGTGGAGTAACCTTACCTGTTGAGTGACCTTACCTGTGGATTTATCTTACCTGTGGAGTGACCTTACCTGTGGAGTGACCTTACCTGTGGAGTGACCTAACCTGTGGAGTGACCTAATCTGTGGAGTGACCTTACCTGTGGAGTGACCTTACCTGTAGAGTGACCTTACCTGTGGAGTGACCCTACCTGTGGAGTGACCTTACCTGTAGAGTCACCTTACCTGTGGAGTCACCTTACCTGTGGAGTCACCTTACCTGTAGAGTCACCTTACCTGTGGAGTGACCTTACCTGTAGAGTGACATTACCTGTGGAGTGACCTTACCTGTGGAATGACCTTACCTGTGGAGTGACCTTACCTGTGGAATGACCTTACCTGTGGAGTGCCCTTACCTGTGTAGGTAAAACAGGTGTGATTCTGTTCCACTTTGACCACCACACCCATCACGTCCACCTTGAATAGAGGATGGCTCCGATAAAGGTAGGTCCCTGTCAAATAAATCATATAACAGAATAGAGGATGGCTCCGATGGAGGTAGGTCCCTGTCAAATTAATCATATAACAGAATAGAGGATGGCTCTGATGGAGGTAGGTCCCTGTCAAATAAATCATATAACAGAATAGGGGATGGCTCCGATACAGGTAGGTCCCTGTCATATAAATCATATAACAATCTCAATCATACAAGTGAAACTCTCTTCATATGAAACATAAAAAGTGAAATCATGTGGTTCGGTGAAATTTAGAATTGATTGTAAGACATATGCACCTGCTGCCATGAAAAATTGTTTGACGAAAAATCAAACCACCAATGAATGTGCTAGAACAGTAAAAATAGTTTCTCTATTACAACTATGTATATAGTTATGATAACCTTGACCTTCAATGTAAATTTCTTAAATATAAATATGTTCATGGGTTTTTTTGTTGTTCACATATTTAACTTCTTTATGATCAAAGTTTCATGTAATCCGATCACAAATGGAAGGTGTCAGGCGGTCCCCCCCACTTCTTACAGTGACCTTGACCGTGGGTTGGATATAATAAACGTGGAGACATTCAATTCTCACAATCTATTGATGAAGTTTCATGGAAATCCTACTACAAATGAAGGTGTGACGACTTCAACATAAAAGACTGTCCAATATATAGTGACCATCACCTTGAGTGCAAACACTGAAACGCAAACCCATTCAAGCTAAATGTATCTTGGAGTTAAAATATATGAGAATCAGACCACCAAATATTAAAATGAAAGGTAGCAGAGTACAGTAGAAATGGCCTGGTCCTAAAAATAAAGGGCATGTCTCAGATAAACATTGATAGTGGATTCAACCTGCACAACACACCTACATACATGTATATATATATATTTATAAACTACATTTTGTTTAGGAGACTGAATTGTATTTTCAAAAACTGTTGTCCCCAGATTTGGGACTTTTGAAAACCATGGTTACCACATCAAAAAATACCAAAAAATGCAAAATAATGATTTTTAACCCAAAATTTGACCCCCACAAGTAGTATTTTTTTTCTTAAAACCTATCTGAAACTAAATATCGCCTACTCAGTAACAGAAATACTCACGTTTTAGCATACATGTAGGTAATTCCGGTGGAATTTTCACAATATTTACACATGTGCTGAGTACAAAAATAGATGATGCTAGCTTTTGTTGCGTAGACACAGATTTGTAAATGCCCAAAACTGTAGTCTCAACCCAAATTCATTTTTTTTTTAGATTATATAAGCCCACCTAATCCACTTCATCATGTACAAGCCAATTTTAGTGGTGATATTTTTTTTTTAATTTTGATACATGCAAAGCTATAAAGAATATGGAAACACGTATATTTAGTTTCGTGTTATTTTCATACCTGGAAACATGGTGTTCTCCCTCATCTGTAGAACATCGGCGATGTACATCTTGTTAAAGATCATGAAGTAGTAATCAAGGCCCCAAGTTTTTGTCGGGTGTAAACCTTCAGACATACTGTTGGACGTTTCATTGGGGGGGTGGCCAAACATCTCAGTTGTACCAGAGACGTATATATTACATACGTCTCTGGTTGTACGGGTCTCTTCCTCCACAGGCCTGCTGGTCATTTTGTTGGACATTGAACCTTGACCATCGAACATTCTTTTGTTGGACATCATGATCAGCTATTGGAAATAAATAGATTATTGATCTCAGGGTCAGAATAATATAAAAAGCAAAAACACTTTTAGTTCCAAAATGATCATATTTTTCCAACAACTGTAGAAGTAAGTTGAAGTAAAGTGAAGTAAAAATATTTGTTTGTTTTTGGAAATTAATTTTTCAACAGATGATATACTTCTCTCATTTTGCTCAGGATCATCTATATTTTTAAAATAAAATCAAAATGTTATATTTTCCTTCCATACCGTTTTGGGCAAATATGTTAGCCTTCCAAATCATCCTGTGTGGGTGTGTTCAGTCAACCATAAAAGTGTATGAACGCTTTTCCACGTGTACACCTCTTTCAAAAGCTAAGCTAGGCTAAGTAAGGCGTTGTTCAAATTGTTAAGGAAATCAATTTGATGAATATTCTTCACGTGTTTTTGTTTTAATATGGCACAAAGATGAACCAGACAACAGTTAAATGACGGTGAAATGAATAGGGACATAGGTGAAGTTGTGGAACATGACCGATATGGCGGAGGTTCAGTGATGACGTGGGGATGCATAAGCCTTTGTGGGAAAAATACCCTCCATGTCTTCCATAATGGTACCGTTACGGCCTGGATTTACGGTGATGAAACCCTTGATGCCTATGTCAGACCCTATCAGCCCTGACTTCATCCTTATGGACGATAATGCTAGGCCATCTACAGCAAGAGACTAAACAACGAAACGATTGGCCAGCCCGCTCACCGGATTTAAATCCCACGGAGCATGTGTGTGACATGCTGCAGACAGCTCTCTCTACCAGAAATGTTCAGCCAAGAACGCTCTAGGAGCTAGGAACAGCTTTGGTAGCTGAGTGGAACGCTATCCCACAAAACCGGATACGCGATCTCATTCCGGGGCATGCACAGACGTTGTGAAGCTGTAATTAATGCTCATGGGCGTCACACTCGATACTAAAACAGTTTCTGTTTATTTAGAGTTTTGTTCAATTTAAGTTTTTTAGTGAATACCTCGTTGTTACCAATTTTAAGGGTATTTACCCTTTTCCTGTGGCTCATTTTCTGACTGGAATGTTTTTGGAATTTTTGCATGCTGATGACTTAACAGAACCATCAATTTTTCAAAAATAATTTCAGTATAAACCAAATAAAATATTTATTTTCACATATGCCCAAAAATAAAAGTGATCCTTAGAAAAATGTGAGTGGTAGAGTTCAGTGTATCATCTATATTGACGTGTTTATTGACGTGTTTATATTGACGTGTTTATTGACGTGTTTATATTGACGTGTTTATTGATGTGTTTATATTGACATGTTTATATTGACGTGTTTATTGACGTGTTTATATTGACGTGTTTATTGATGTGTTTATATTGACGTGTTTATAGACATGTTTATATTGACGTGTTTATTGATGTGTTTATATTGACGTGTTTATTGACGTGTTTATATTGACGTGTTTATTGATGTGTTTATATTGACGTGTTTATTGACATGTTTATATTGTGATTTTATGAAAACTTCGCAAATTTCAATTGGAAATTTCAGTTAATTTGGAAGTAATTGAAACTTTTACTTTATTAACACCATTTAATTCCAAGAACAACACAACCATACATACATCACCGTACATGAAAATGTGATACTTTTTCATTTCCTGATTAATCTCACTAAGCAGTTTTCACAGTCAAAGTCAATTATTTTTACTATCACACGATAACAATTCAATTTAGAAATTTTAAAATGATCAATCATGTTTTATCTCAGATTTGTTTGGAAGTACTAGCTATATAGGTGAAATGACCCACTGCCTTGGCTAATGGAAATATATAGAATATATTTCTGGATCCCTATGATAATTTGTTCAGCTTGTCAAGACAGGACCAATGTCAGTGGGACTAGGCTGCTTGATTCGTCAGCAGCAGCAGTCAAGATCTGAGGTCGCACAGGATGAGATTATAGGACTAGGGCTGTCACAATGTGGAGGGAGAGGTTGAGATTATAGTACTAGGGCGGTCACAATGTGGAGGGAGAGGATGAGATTATAGGACTAGGCCTGTCACAATGTGGAGGGAGAGGATGAGATTATAGTACTAGGGCTGTCGCAATGTGTAGGGAGAGGATGAGATTATAGGACTAGGCCTGTCACAATGTGGAGGGAGAGGTTGAGAGTATAGGACTAGGTCTGTCACAATGTGGAAGGGGAGGTCGAGATTATAGGACTAGGGCTGTCACAATTTGGAGGGAGAGGCAGTGGGACTAGGCTGCTTGATTCGTCAGCAGCAGCAGTCAAGATCTGAGGACGCACAGGATGAGATTATAGGACTAGGGCTGTAACAATGTGGAGGGGGAGGTTGAGATTATAGGACTAGGGATGTCACAATGTGGAGGGAGAGGATGAGGTTATAGTACTAGGGCTGTCACAATGTGGAGGGGGAGGTTGAGATTATAGGACTAGGGCTGTCATAATGTGGAGGGAGAGGATGAGATTATAGGACTAGGGCTGTCACAATGGGGAGGGAGAGGTTGAGATTATAGGGCGAGGGCTGTCACAATGTGGAGGGAGAGGTTGAGAGTATAGGACTAGGTCTGTCACAATGTGGAAGGGGAGGTCGAGATTATAGGACTAGGGCTGTCACAATGGGGAGGGAGAGGTTGAGATTATTGGACTAGGGCTGTCACAATGTGGAGGGGGGGGTTGAGATTATAGGACTAGGGCTGTCATAATGTGGAGGGAGAGGTTGAGATTATTGGACTAGGGCTCTCACAGTGTGGAGGGAGAGGTTGAGATTATAGGCCTAGGGCTGTCACAATGTGGAGGGAGAGGATGAGATTATAGTACTAGGGCTGTCACAATGTGTAGGGAGAGGATGAGATTATAGGACTAGGGCTGTCACAATGTGGAGGGAGAGGATGAGATTATAGGAATAGGGCTGTCACAATGTGGAGGGAGAGGATGAGATTATAGCACTAGGGCTGTCATAATGTGGAGGGAGAGGTTGAGATTATAGGACTAGAGCTGTCACAATGTGGAGGGAGAGGTTGAGATTATAGGAATAGAGCTGTCACAATGTGGAAGGAGAGGTTGAGATTATAGGACTAAGGCTGTCACAATGTGGAGGGAGAGGATGAGATTATAGCACTAGGGCTGTCATAATGTGGAGGGAGAGGTTGAGATTATAGGACTAGGTCTGTCACAATGTGGAAGGGGAGGTCGAGATTATAGGACTAGGGCTGTCACAATGTGGAGGGAGAGGTTGAGATTATAGGACTAGAGCTGTCACAATGTGGAAGGAGAGGTTGAGATTATAGGACTAGGGCTGTCACAATGTGGAGGGAGAGGATGAGATTATAGCACTAGGGCTGTCATAATGTGGAGGGAGAGGTTGAGATTATAGGACTAGGGCTGTCAGAATGTGGAGGGAGAGGATGAGATTATAGTACTAGGGCTGTCACAATGTGTAGGTAGAGGATGAGATTATAGGACTAGGGCTGTCACAAAGTGTAGGGAGAGGATGAGATTATAGGACTAGGGCTGTCAAAATGTGGAGGGAGAGGTTGAGATTATAGGACTAGGTCTGTCACAATGTGGAAGGAGAGGTTGAGATTATAGGACTAAGGCTGTCACAATGTGGAGGGAGAGGATGAGATTATAGGTCGAGGGCTGTCACAATGTGGAGGGAGAGGATGAGATTATAGGACTAGGGCTGTCACAAAGTGGAGGGAGAGGATGAGATTATAGGACTAGGGCTATCACAATGTGGAGGGAGAGGTTGAGATTATAGGACTAGGTCTGTCACAATGTGGAGGGAGAGGATGAGATTATAGTACTAGGGCTGTCACAATGTGTAGGTAGAGGATGAGATTATAGGACTAGGGCTGTCACATTGTGGAGGGAGAGGATGAGATTATAGGACTAGGCCTGTCACAATGTGGAGGGAGAGGATGAGATTATAGGACTAGGGCTATCACAATGTGGAGGGAGAGGTTGAGATTATAGGACTATGGCTGTCACAATGTGGAGGGAGAGGATGAGATTATAGGAATAGGGCTGTCACAATGTGTAGGGAGAGGTTGAGATTATAGGACTAGGGCTGTCATAATGTGGAGGGAGAGGTTGAGATTATAGGACTAGGGATGTCACAATGTGGAGGGAGAGGTTAAGATTATAGGACTAGGGCTGTCACAATGTGGAGAGAGAGGATGAGATTATAGGACTAGGGCTGTCACAAAGTGTAGGGAGAGGATGAGATTATAGGACTAGGGCTGTCATAATGTGGAGGGAGAGGATGAGATTATAGGACTAGGGCTATCACAATGTGGAGGGAGAGGTTGAGATTATAGGACTAGGGATGTCACAATGTGGAGGGAGAGGTTGAGATTATAGGACTAGGTCTGTCACAATGTGGAGGGAGAGGATGAGATTATAGGAATAGGGCTGTCACAATGTGTAGGGAGAGGTTGAGATTATAGGACTAGGGCTGTCATAATGTGGAGGGAGAGGATGAGATTATAGGACTAGGGCTATCACAATGTGGAGGGAGAGGTTGAGATTATAGGACTAGGGCTGTCATAATGTGGAGGGAGAGGATGAGATTATAGGACTAGTGCTGTCACAATGTGGAGGGAGAGGATGAGATTATAGGTCGAGGGCTGTCACAATGTGGAGGGAGAGGATGAGATTATAGTACTAGGGCTGTCACAATGTGGAGGGGGAGGATGAGATTATAGTACTAGGGCTGTCACAATGTGTAGGTAGAGGATGAGATTATAGGACTAGGGCTGTCACATTGTGGAGGGAGAGGATGAGATTATAGGACTAGGTCTGTCACAATGTGGAGGGAGAGGATGAGATTATAGCACTAGGGCTGTCACAATGTGGAGGGAGGGGTTGAGATTATTGGACTAGGGCTGTCACAATGTGGAGGGGGAGGATGAGATTATAGTACTAGGGCTGTCACAATGTGTAGGTAGAGGATGAGATTATAGGACTAGGGCTGTCACAAAGGGGAGGGAGGGGATGAGATTATAGGACTAGGGCTGTCACAATGTGGAGGGAGAGGTTCCCCAACGAGTGGTGGCTGGTTATCATGTTTATCTAACTCGAAATAGTTCATTATCAAATTGTATTACAGAAGTGTGGTTTTCCGAGTGTGTTTTACAATTTGAATTATCTAATGAGAGTTTGATGAACATGTCATGATGAGAATCAACCATCAGGTTGTTGGAGCTTTTCTCCTGCAACGTTCAAGTATCATAGAAAACCAAATGTTTGTTTTGGGAAGAGACAGGATTTCTGTATTCGATTGGGGAAACACTTGCCATAAACTACCAAGTCACAACTGAAGATAATGTGGCAAAGCATTGTTACTTTGTAACTAGAAGATTGACTTATGAAATCATGTCCAGGGTGTTACCCACTAGTGGGTAAACAAAAAGGTTTATCAAACGTGTTCGGAGTGAGGGACCCTACAGGTTGTGGGAGAAATGATAATCTAAATCTGTGTGATCCACATGATCTAGGAGTCTTGATCCTTGACCGTAGCTGAACTACCTGTACACTCTAATATCAGTTATATACAGGTATTGTCTTAAACTTATTACATTCAATATAACAAATCCAGAAGACAGGAGGCAAATGAACTCTGACTGATGTCAACTTATGTTAAACTGGAATGAATGTCTAAAACAGTAGCATTCATTACAATCTGATTGGTTCTGAAGCTCAAAGGAATTCGTTTAATCGTCTGAACTAGTTAGTTAACATAAATGTCTAAAGTTTATAAGATGTGCATTGATAAGCTAGGTTGGCTAACAAGCATCAGCTGTATGGAATTTCCCTTTAGCTCAGTGGTAGAGCATCGGGCTGGAGAGCCAAGGGTTGCAGGTTTGAGCCCCAGCCAAGGCACTATCTTTATCACTTTTCCTCGTCCTACTACAGAAATACAAATAATACACAAGATGTATGATTAAGTGTGCTGTCATCCACCATGCATCTACAGTCACAGCTGATTCGCTAGAGGTATTAAATTAAGGCCTTAATCAGCAGCCGTCCATTTTGGAGTGTAAATAGAAGATTTATTAACCTGTTTTTAACAAATTAACACAGGTGTTCAGGTTCTGGAGTATATGTGATAAATTTAGGTATCACACATCACTGTTATAATAAGCATTGTCGCATTTATCTCAGGTAACCTGGCTTGACTTGATCAATAGCCTTAAAGCTTGTTAGCTTTATGAATTATTGTAAAATATCCAATCAAAATAGATGCCATCATTCTTGAGATTTGACACATTTTCTTACATTTTTCTCGATAATTAGTGGATACACGGATATACTTCAGGAATCGTGTGGCTGTGCCCCAATCCCAACCTCATAATTATGGTTTTATTTTCACGGACAGGACACTGCTCCTTTCACGTAATTAATTGAACAGTATAAACTTACTTCGTATCGTCGATTTTACGTCGCCATAACAAAATGTCACTCTCTGATGTAAATAAACATGACTTCTAAACTCTGGCTGTCAAACGGAGTGACGACACTGTCCGTTTTGTGCTTGCCGCCATTATTAATACAAAAGAGTTCCTCAAGGGCCAGTTACCCTGGTCCAACGTACGATAGTATTCGAAATATAGCATACCAGCGGTGTGGGTAGGTGCACTGCCGATTTTTAATTTTATGCATGATTTTTTTCGAGGTTTATACCTAGCATATGCATGTAAGTGTGTCAAGCATCTGTGCAATCTATATCTAGTACCACAGCACTGGCTGTTGAACTTAATCCGTCATCATCTAATAAATTAAAATCCTATGCAAAGCTTATAATTAGCGGAACAAGTGTGCGCTGGTAGCGTCCGAAAAATTGAATAACAAATAATGTATCGAGCTATTGTATACCATGTCCAACAAAGATATGGAATATTAACAGTGCGATCATCACAATTCGTGGCAGAGATATACACATGTACAGTTAAATGACTTATAGGCCTACTAATCTAGTAATATAAACTCTAGATTAAATTGGAAGTTCAAGCTCTTGAATTATATCGGGTTTTTTTGTTTGTCTCGATACTTACTATTTATTTGATCACTTTACTTATAGCAGATCAATTGGAGTAGCACACCTAGTAGATTTTAGTGGAAACAGCGAAATTTCTGTCAGGCTGTCAGCGTTCAAATGTACTATTATGACGTCGTTTTACTATGACGTCGACATTTTATGCGTAGTCCCAATTATATGTTTTATCAGGAAAGGTTCTAAAAAATACATTGAATTACTTCATATTCCAAGAATCATATAAAACTATTCCGGTCACCTAGAGGCACATGTTTATACCTCTATGGAAAGCTGAAATTATCATTTTTTACTTCATTAATAAAAAGTAAACCAGTACTTTTGTTATACCGGCTGGGATTATGGTATACTGTAGAAAATTGTACGTGGAAGTAATAAAGTGCATGTTTTTACCTTAAGCGTATGACAACGAATGAGAATGTGGACACGATCTGTTGTTGATACAATGATGGATGATGCTCTGTGACATTTCGAAATCCAGGGGTTACACGCTCAGCACTCATATCGGTAGCGGAAGTCTTGGATTTGGATGTCCGAGCAGAGACGTATATACTACTTATGTCTCTGGTCCGAGGTATTCGTTTTTGAGTTAAACGTGCACCGGCGAGTCCTTTTCTCTATTTCGTACAGGTATTCGTCTTCCAGTCACTGTCAGATACTGCCGATACCGTTAATAATTCTAATATAAAGCCTAATTAATTTGGGTGGCCAAGGGTTAAAGGCAATTTTTGTTACGTTATAGATAATGATATGATGCATGACGTTAATTAAAACCAACAAACCTTTGATAACGTTATCCACATATGCCAGAGAGAGATGCACTTCCGCTAGTGGCGCCTGTGCTTCGTCATAATGTTCCAATATGATACTGAACCTGTTGGACGGTTTTTTCTTCTCAATACTTTTTACTTATATAATTACATCTTAAGAAGAATGTGTGAGACAACCTAACGGGTTACTGGTGACAAATGTTTCTAGTCTATGTAGCCATCGTGTGATTGACCGTTAACTCTTTGAAACGTGGCATTTTATTGGATGCCTTCATTTTGTAATAAAAACACAAGTCGATTATTCTCAGTGTGCAGTTCTATTATCTCATTCTGAAATTGTATTGGTTCAACATGAAAATAAACTATCACTCATTCTCAATGTGTATTGGTTCAACATAAACTGTCACTCATTCTCAAGTACAAAGGATATTGGTACAACATGAAATAGACTATCATTGTTCAACATGAAATAGACTGTCACTCATTCTCGATTACAAAGTGTATTGGTTTAACATGAAATAGACTGTCACTCATTCTCAATTACAAAGTGTATTGGTTCAACATGAAATAGACTGTCACTCATTCTCAATTACAAAGTGTATTGGTTCAACATAAAAAAAACTGTCACTCATTCTCAATTACAAAGTGTGTTGGTTCAGCATGAAAATGTATATTAGTGGGTTAATGGAGCACTACGTACATATAACACATTTATCATATAAAGCACTACAATCAATGACACTTTAGTGAAAATGTGACAGATATCTTACATGAACAAACGATAAACATGGAGGTATTCCTTGGACCAAATAAAATGCAAAACTGTACTCCAGTTTAATCGGACACCGTCGGCATTTTCCGTATAATAAGCAGATCTATATTCAGCAACACGAAACATGAAACAATAAATCAGTTAGACAATATCTTTGACATCGAAATGTACACAGTATATTCAAGATGTAGCTTACATATATGTGTGATACGTAACACAACTCACTGTCAAGCAATGCACTATCACTCAGGATCATTGATGAAACAACTGCTATGAAACAGAACTAAATATTGTTGTCAGTCAATACACTAGACACTTCGGTAATTAGTTGACGAACTCCGTGATTCTGGCCTGTCGGCGTGATGTCGCGGCTAAAGAGTCTACCTGATCTTCTAGGTCGTAGAAGGGTCCGAAATCAGTGCAGTTGTTCTCCTCTAGGTAACGTCGGATGTATGCTAGAGACTCTCTGACGACAGCTGCTGTAGCGGGTATAACTGTATTGTTCTCTTCATCATCATCATCGTCGTCATCGCTGTTGGTAGCGTCTCTTGACGTCTGATAGAGGATCGCATCGCATACGTCCGGAGAAGAGGCGTTGACGTCCAGGTCGTGGTCACGCTTAACAGTTGGTGCATCATCGGCCTCCCTCTTCCCGTCAGGTTGTCGTCGGAAACGGATGGAGTTCCTAGCCTTCCTGATGATGCGCTGAAATCGTTGTGGCCTAGTTGTTTGCCGATATCAATGGCCTTGTCGGTCAGTATTGGTCCGTTGATATGGACACCGCTCGTTATAGCGTTGTTGACCCACGTGCTGAGTGCCGTCTCTACGTCCGCTGCTGTCCCCGACCGTTGTCTTTTGCGCTGTGTGTTGGAGGTTGTTTTGAACAATGAGCGTATCTCCTCCTTCTTCGAAGCTATCTTGGAAATAGTTGAAGCGGAGCATTCTAACTGGACGGAAATTTCTTTCTGTGTCATCTTCTGGTCTAACATAGCTACAATCTTATACTTTTGTGTGAGAGATAGGTCGTTTCTCTTCCTCTTTGACGTCATGTTTATGTTAGTAGTGGATGGATGAATCGCTGGAGTGGTGAATGGTGAACGAGAAAATAACCCGTATATATAGGGCCATCTATGATAATGACAACTATTCATATTTTAAGTTGTTTATAATTAGGCTGTGTGCCCTAATTATCTCCTTAACCAAAAACAACACTTACTCTTCACAAAAACAACACCTACCTATAAATACGACGGTATTTAACCAAGCCGTCGTTATTTCAACCGGGAGCATAAATTATTTCTTTGATGGATAGTTATTCAAAATCAACACTTACTCCTCGCAAAATCAACACTTACTCCTTCCAAAAACAACACTTACTCCTCGCAAAATCAACACTTACCTTCACGATCAACTTATATAAGCTGTCGTTGTGTCCGTGTAACCAATTAAATACTTTTCGTCTTCACTAATTGTTGAAATGTTTTGATAACATAGGTTCACTGTGTACCTTTATTCATTAGACGTATTGATAGAGAATTGATGTTCGAAAGTTGGCCAGGTGTGAAAAAGACCAAATTAGACCATAACATTAATGACATAACGCGCCCAGGTGTCACACCGCATCCCAAGGCTAAAACCCGTGGCTTCTTTTCCTCAATTACCTGTATTGTTTTGTGATAGTGGCCAAAATGAGGTGTTCTGAAGCGGAGAAGACATCAAAGAGAGTGAAATAAACAGAAATCACATTACAAAAATTATGAAAAGGTAAAAAGTGTTTCGCGAAAACATGATATTAAACATGAAAATGACATTAAGCGGTGTGGTGATGTAAACCAAAAACGTTTAAATCAGAAACGAAACAGATTTGTTTTTTAATTCGTTCCACATCGTCTGTTTGTATTTGAGGTATCATGTATGTATTGGTTGATAATTTTCATTTGGTCTGTGATATTGGTGTATGTAGTTTATTGTGAACTGTTATTTGCTATCCACCTGTAAGTGGGCCTTATGGCCTGTCGGATTAAAGAAATAAACAAATCATTTTAAGGCAATACTGATTATGTTGCAATGGGGGATCCAGAGGGTTTTTTTGGGCTTCAGGAAACCCCCCACCGTGAGAATTTTCTTTAAAAATCATGTATTTTCACCATTTTCCTCAGTTTTTCCCCACATGGAAACCCCCCCCCCCAGGAAATTTGGAACCCCCCCAGATAGGTCTCTGGATCCGCCACTGTGTTGATTATAAAGAAAATTAGTTCTGAACAGCTGTCCGTGTAAGATTTCCTGTGACGACTCGATGTAGGCTATACAAGTATTATCATTTGTTTAACGCTGTTGTATCAACGATATCTATATATGTGTGTTACGGAGTGTGGTCCGACTGTACAAACATAGACATGATTTGCTAAGAAAGTATTTTATAAGTTTTCAAATGTCATCAAATAATGTTTCTTTTTCTTTCTTATAATTGTAACTTGGTTGAATGATCTAGCCTATATTTTTGTAAGTGTATATGAGTGTGTCTTGTTGATCTATGTATTTAATTATGCTTTCTGTCCATCTATACCGGATAGGAGAAGACTTATATAGGCTAAGCCTGTTGTCTCATCCAATTGTTCAATATTTTTTCGTCCAATAAAATGTGTTGAAATTGAGAGTTGTATCAACGAGGAAAAATGAATTTGAGAGTAGAAATGTGTTATGTCGCGAGGACAATGTTTATGTGTAATAAATTTGATATTTGTTTGAACATCTAAACACTTAATTGATTGGATAACCCCCACACAACTACAAACCAACTGTCTTATTGTCTGAATTGTATTGATTAGTTGGACAACTGTGAACTATAATACATTTTGAATGGTAAATTGAAGTTTAGATAAATGTATTAGAGACCTTTCCCTATCATACACACAACAAAGACTAAAAAAAAAAAATGTATGTGCTCTGCATCCCTCCATTGCAATTGCATCGAGAAGGCAAATGTTGTTATGGTCCTATAACACACATTTCTATCGCTGACAAACTGTCGGGCTTTATTAAGTTTGTAATCAATAACAATGTGTGTTATGGGACCATAACAACAGTTGCTAAAACATGAAGATACTTAGATGTACAGTGTGTCTGTAGAGAGTCATATCTAACAGCAAAACTTCCATATAGTACTTTATCTAAATACCTTGATATAAAAACTCTTCACTGCTAGTACATGTATATACGTCCACTTTCCCCCCTTCTAATAAGATATCTGTGTTTGCCTCTCAAAGTTACGCCGTAAATCCTCTTTATGACGTCAAAACGTTGCTGAGAAGATGATGGCAGTATTACGAGTTTTTATATTATTTCATAAAGGCATCTATATACAATGTAAAGTCATTGATTTCTGAAGACAAAGAATAAACTGTACAAGCCAAATAACGCGCGAATCGGCACTTACACATTTTTTAAGAATAATTTAAACATTTAAGAAAATGTTGTTTTTTCCCAAAGAATATCAATATAGATTTGATTTTATGACTAGGTTTTGTACTTCTATAAAAAAAAATATAGATCAACACAACACCTAAACAAAGAAAATTAGTTTGAAAACAACAACAGCATAGCTATGTGAAGCTGGATGGTAAACGACGACATAAAGTGTTTATATACAAAAACCAAATGAGAGACTGGGCACGCATTACCGGAATCTATGATGATTAGTCAACTTTTAGCACAGACTGCCGGGAGATCTACTTTCGTCTCCGGTCATGTGATTTGTTTAAATGAATCCAACACACTGTGTTAAATCAATCTAATTAAAATTATATCTTCACATCGCTCCCGTTTTCTGATATGTCGCGAATATACGAGGCATGGGAATTAATAGGAGCTACCTCCCTTTTTCAGGAGTGTAGGTAAGAATATCAAAGTTTTCAATTATAGTTCCATTAAATTCATTTACCACATCTTTACGGAAGTGTTATATATAGCATATATTATTGTGAACCATCCATCCCGTCTGGATAAGTATTGGGGACAACCTGATTGTTTCTATAACCATGAGATAGACAATAATGAACTTATTCATTGCCGGGACGTCAGCATAGTGTCTGACGATATTCCAGATCTGGATATATAGGCATATTGCCTGCGTCCAGTATTATTATTATTATTATTATTATTATTATTATTAATTGTGTGATTAATTAATATTACATAAGTACTATAGTTACATTTGTATGTTTTTGGTGTAAGGGAAGTAACTCCAATTATGATTATATCATTTGCCAATTGTAACATCATGCATGTTCTCCCTTGAAGGGAACTCTTTAATTTAATGGAAGTTAATGGCAGGGAATAAAAGTGAAGATCACGAAAATGAACGGTTGTGTGTTATGTTATACTCAATATTCTGCCAAGCGAGTCCCCACTAGATACAGTTAACTCAACCCGTTACAGAAGATGCAATTTTATGATATAAAGACATCAATTAGTAGGGGAGATAACTAGTACAATTAGAAGTTAAATATGCATATATTCCGTTCATATTCAATTTGTCTTTGAAGTAATACATGAGGAGACATTAATCAGAAGTAAAACAATAAACGATGTAGAATATATAAAGCGCTGAATTATCCGGTATATTGAGTGACGTCATTCGACGCCAAGTAAATTGCATCAACATCACACGTCATGTAATTTTCATCATAATAGTGAATCATTTTATTTGCATCAATAAAGACGTTACTTCGTCCACATTAGCTGAATGACGTCATATAATCAGCATCCCCATATTTGTATCACATTAGTGGATTATATAGTCATGTTTCTTCACCACAGTAACGTTACGGCATGTTCGTCACCAGAGTTACGTCATACATTCCGATTGAATTTCGCTAATATTGAAATGTTATGAAATGTGAAACGTTTTCCGAACGGAAATATTGTCTTCTTTCGTGAATCCTGGAATTTTTGTAGCTGATTATATTTTCAAGCTCTGACACAGTCTTTCTCTAGACAAATGACACATCTGTCGATATAGAAGATCATTATCATCAGTGTCAAAACATCTCGAAGGATCACGGTGGTTCATAACATATCCGCCATTTTGTGTTGGTGTTCCAGCACATTTATTTCCCCGGTAACTTTAATATGTTAGAAAACCTTGGAACACATTTTGGATGTCACAAATTCTGAAAAAATACGAAACAAAACATGAAATTAACACAAACACCAGATTTTTTAGGAAACATTCTTGATCAGATCTGACCATAACGTCATATCGAGTACGAAGGAATTATGATTGATAAGGGAGGCAACTCCATTATAGTTATGTGTGTTCAGTACCCTTTACTTTTATCTGACCAACATCTCGAGAAAACAAGCAATTTTCAATCATTCCAAAGATGTATGTAAACATCGCCAACCTAATTACGCACGAGGAAATCAGGGAAACTACTGCGATTATCTCCCCTGCTAGATGTACACGTATGTAAATATAAACTTGATTTAATTTTGAATTTTGAAACAAGTTAGTTGAACTAATTATAGCGCACAGATGGTCTTAATGCGGGAGGACACCGGAGTACCCGGAGAAAATCCACGTGGTCGGGCAGGTGAACCCATACACTTCGCCACCCGACAACCCAACACGCATGTAGCATCATTATACATTGATATTGATTCGCTGACCTGACTGGTTAAATCCATTACTGAAAATTGAGTCAAAATTATAGTTGAGTTACTAATCAAGTTGAATAATTATAACGATTTTGGAGAAGTAGTAGGTTGTACAATTGCGAAATTTATGCCTCCATTTTTAAAGGTGGTGTCCAGTTGATAGCATCTGTATACTAAAACACTTATCATTCTAGCGGAACTGGACTGCGTCGATCGCCGGCGACCAAGTAGCTCAATTGGTTAGAGCGTCCGTCTAGAGTTCGGTGGTCGCGGGTTCGAACCCTGGTCTGGCCGTGCATTTCCGATACGTACCGATATAATCTATCCTGCCGTCGCCGTTAGCATCAGCCTCAAAGAGAACGGACATCAACGCCTCGTCGTCATTTCCGGGGTAAAATCTCGGGTCCTTGAACATAAGCGCCTTCCTGAGCTCGTCAACGGAGATGAACCCGTCACCGTTCTTGTCAAGCGCCTGGAAGGCGGCGATCATACTCTCTTTTTCCATGTCAATTGATATGTAGTTGAACATCATCAAGTTTTTATACTCTTCAAAGTCGATACAGCCGTCACCTACGGATATATACATAATCAATACTAATTTTCCCTGAAGCAGTCTTAAGCTTGTTTTCCCTGTTTCCTGTTACGCCATAGCTACCCTTTCTTGTACGATTTGTCACCTCCCGTCATTACAGAACCCCTCTCTCGGAATTGCAAACACAACCCACGATCAATTGGAAACCGTCGGCACTTTCCGTAAACGAGAAAATGTTTCTCGTTTACGGAAAGTGCCGACGGCTCCCGATTGACCCAACGATATGACAAAAATCGTCATTCAGTATTAAGCAATCTTAACTGTTTCTAACACGTTATGAACAGTCAATTCCGTGATATGATTGACTTCGTCTTAGTGTATGTCGAAATATTCCCGTCTTTAGTGTACTCGTCATCGTTCGACAAAACCGTTACGACAAAGTAATAAATAAGGGAGCTAACTCCGAAAGACAAGAGTGAATGCTGGTTTTGAGTGTTTATTGTTTACGTACTATTAACAGCTATGGTCAATTTAAGGACGTGCAAGGGTTTTGGATACGGAGTGACGTATAGGCTCCTGAATAAATATGGTGACACCTGTTTCTCTCGATGGCATTTTTTTTTATCTTACTATGCCCCAAAGTTAGAATTTGTTTTCATTATAACTAGGGCTGCAACGATATATCGTACCGTATCGTATCGTGATACTTTCTTATGTATCGTTTCGAATTGTTTTGTTTGCCTGTATCGCGATACACAAAGGGTAATGAAAGTATCAATATTCTGTTTAGGAGCTTACTTATTGTTTTGGAATTCTGTAGTGAAGGTGTGGCCCACTGTACTAAAAATCATACACAAATACATTTTGACAGGATTTATTATACGCATATGATTAAGTATATAACAAATGTCTGTAAAATCCGGCACTCAATCATTATTAAGTTGACCTTCTGATCGGATACGTGTATCGTGATACGTACCGTATCGTAAGCATCGTATCATGAGGTATGCATATCGTTGCAGCCCTAATTATAACATAGTTTGATATAACCGTGACGTCAGTTCCCGCCCCTCTCCCCTTCTCTCCCCTCCTACCGTCGAGGTCGGCCTCTTCCAGCATTTCGCGGGCCTCCTCCTCTGTGGGGTTCATGCCCAGACAGTAGGCGGCACTCTTTAGTTCCTCCAAAGTTATCTTCCCGTCACCATTCGCGTCTATAATCGAGAATGATCTGCGGATCTCTGAAATGTTAACAACACTCAAAGTGATGACGTCATCATTTTCGTCTATATCACAACCCATGATCTATGATCGGTAAGAAAATATAACTATACAAGCTTACAGTCGCCACTGGCGACTGACAAAAGTCCAATTTGGTATGGTATTAGTTTGTGATCATATATTATCAATTGAAAAATTGTAACTAAACAGTACTTTATCATAGTAAGACTTGATTACGTTTCCTTGTACCAGTTCTCTCCACTAAGTGCTGCTCATTGAATTGCAGTTTTGAGGAAAAGCCTAGCGGGGAGTAGAAAAACTACGATATGTTTTTCAGTCAGGTACCATGTACCTTTTGGAAAGAATTTTTACCTGCCAACTCATCGCCCGTCAAAGACCTGGACGGTTTTTCCCCATCCTCTGGCTTAAGACTAAATTTTTTCCTAGGGTTCGGCTGTGTTGTAAACCCGCTAAGTGGCGGTAATTCCGGAGCCTCGTTGTCCTGGTCTACATCCGGGTCATTTAAACTAGCCATGACTGTTTGTTCACCTGTAACTATAGATATCAGGAAATATGATCAATTGATAATAATATCACTCAAAATATTTCGCAGCTGTTTTAAATAAGATAGATACAAGGCGAGTCTGTAAATGTATTTGATGAACTTCCATATGCCATCGTGCCTCTAACAAAAATCTCTCAACTCCCACTTTGGATCATGCCTTGTTACACAACCGATCAGAGCGTCTATGTGGCGTGTCGATGACTAGTACGGTATGTACTCTGTCACCTTCATCGGACATATGACCAGTGAAGCAGCATACGCACAAAAAAGTTTAAAGTGTAAAAAGTGAACGAGTTGTCCGGCTACACAGAGAAAGGGAATCTGGTGCTAGAAGGAGTGAGAGAGAAAGAAGAAACCAGGACGCTGACAGCTATGACGACGGGGAACAGGGAGGCGTCGACTTGGTGGATTACGGAGGGGTGAGAGAGAAAGAAGAAACCAGGACGCTGACAGCTATTACGACGGGAAGCTGCTGGGAGGCGTCGACGTGGTGGATTACAGAGGGATGAGAGAGAAAGAAGAAACTAGAACGCTCACAGCTATGACGACGGGAAGCAGGGAGGCGTCGCCTTGGTGGATTACGGAGGGGTGAGAGAGAAAGAAGAAACCAGGACGCTGACAGCTATGACGACGGGGAACAGGGAGGCGTCGACTTGGTGGATTACAGAGGGATGAGAGAGAAAGAAGAAACTAGAACGCTGACAGCTATGACGACGGGGAACAGGGAGGCGTCGACTTGGTGGATTACAGAGGGGTGAGAGAGAAAGAAGAAACTTGGACGCTGACAGCTATGACGACGGGAAGCAGGGAGGCGTCGACTTGGTGGATTACAGAGCAGAGAAAGATGACATAGTCAGAGATCAATGTGTACACTTCATGTCAGACGCAGTTTATTATCATTCATTAGCTGTGCGCTACTGTGGACATACAAACATATTTACATTTTTTTAAATGGATGGTGAACCCGTCGTCTCCAGACACAGATTTGCGACAGATACTTTTTGATACAAGGAGAGAATTTGATTAGAAATAAGGCATGGACAATTTACTCATCCTAAATCTCATTGTCTGCCCTTAAAATGAACATATCAATTTATTCATCCTAAATCTCATTGTATGCCCTTAAAATGAGCACGTCAATTTACTCATCCTAAATCTCATTGCATGCCCTTAAAATGAGCACGTCAATTTACTCATCCTAAATCTCATTGCATGCCCTTAAAATGAGCACGTCAATTTACTCATCCTAAATCTCATTGCATGCCCTTAAAATGAGCACGTCAATTTACTCATCCTAAATCTCATTGCATGCCCTTAAAATGAGCACGTCAATTTACTCATCCTAAATCTCATTGCATGCCCTTAAAATGAGCACGTCAATTTACTCATCCTAAATCTCATTGCATGCCCTTAAAATGAGCACGTCAATTTCAAAAGTCGTGTTCTTGATGTCTGTTCCATTTAGCATAAATACAACATTGTATAACATATTGACCTTTCTACGCTCTTTTCACATTCATGGTCTACCTAACGGTATGGCATAATTATCATATTTTTCGGATTGATCAATTCCGGATACGCTCCTTACGGAAGGTCCGTAGTTGTATGGTGTGTCCGTGTTGTCGATGTAGGATTTGAATTTGATTTAAAAGTAAATCATTCCACATCGTGCGTTTACGTATCATATAGTAATGATTGTACCTATCTAAATGTCAGCAGGTCAAAGGTAAGACTATACACATATGGGAGATAACTTGTATAAGTTGTAGTCACTTGTGACAAATCCCCGATTAAAAAACACGTTCGTAATTTTTTGAGTCAATATATGTAGATCTAAATCAATAACATATATTAAACGTGTTTAACATAATTATATTCTCTTTAATCTTTACTACGAAAGACATGCAACAGATCCCTGCTTACAACTGTAGGTTTTACAATGAACTAATTCCCCGGGTGACAATTAGGTGACTATAACACGGAGACACGATTTTGGTGTACTTTTGTATTTTAAAGCCAGTATTCATTGCGAAAATTATGGTAACTCGTGGAAGAAATATTTTGATTAAAAATCCGATAATATACATTTTATAAAAGTTGTATAGTATATTTTTGTTTATATTGATCTTTGCTTTTCCAAATCTGATTTATGCAAATCTAAAACCTGAACAAGCAACCAGTTGATTTACCATAGGGTCATTGTTTGATCAAGTTTACAATTTATCTGGTTTTCTCCTACCATCCGGGTACTCTGGTTTCCTTCCTACTATCCGGGTACTCTTGTTTCCTCCTACCATCCGGGTACTCTGGTTTCCTCCTACCATCCGGGTACTCTCGTTTCCTCCTACCATCCGGGTACTCTGGTTTCCTTCCTACTATCCGGGTACTCTTGTTTCCTCCTACCATCCGGGTACTCTGGTTTCCTCCTATAATCCGGGTATTCTGATTTCCTCTTACCATCCGGGTACTCTGGTTTCCTCCTACCATCCGGGTACTCGGGTTTCCTCCTAACATCCAGGTACTCTGGTTTCCTTCTACATTAAGACGCTGGACTGCTCGCTTCCATCCGGGTACTCTGGTTTCCTCCTACCATCCAGGTACTCGGGTTTCCTCCTAACATCCAGGTACTCTGGTTTCCTCCAACATTAATACCATACACTGCTCGCTTCCATCCGGGTACTCTGGTTTCCTCCTACAGTAAGACCCTTGACTGCTCGCTTCCATCCGTGTACTCTTGTTTCCTCCTACCATCCGGGTACTCTGGTTTCCTCCTACATTAAGACCCTACACTACACGCTTACATTCAGGTATTCTGGTTTCCTCCTACCATCCGGGTACTCTGGTTTCCTCTTACCATCCGGGTACTCTGTTTTCCTCCTACATTAAGACCCTACACTACACGCTTACATCCAGGTACTCTGGTTTCCTCCTACTATCCGGGTACTCTGGTTTCCTCCTACCATCCGGGTACTCTGGTTTCCTCTTACCATCCGGGTACTCTGGTTTCCTCCTACATTAAGACCCTACACTACACGCTTACATCCAGGTACTCTGGTTTCCTCCTACCATCCGGGTACTCTGGTTTCCTCTTACCATCCGGGTACTCTGGTTTCCTCCTACATTAAGACCCTACACTACACGCTTACATCCAGGTACTCTGGTTTCCTCCTACCATCCGGGTACTCTGGTTTCCTCTTACCATCCGGGTACTCTGGTTTCCTCCTACATTAAGACCCTACACTACACGCTTACATCCAGGTACTCTGGTTTCCTCCTACCATCCGGGTACTCTGGTTTCCTCTTACCATCCGGGTACTCTGTTTTCCTCCTACATTAAGACCCTACACTACACGCTTACATCCAGGTACTCTGGTTTCCTCCTACCATCCGGGTACTCTGGTTTCCTCCTACCATCCGGGTACTCTGGTTTCCTCTTACCATCCGGGTACTCTGGTTTCCTCCTACATTAAGACCCTACACTACACGCTTACATCCAGGTACTCTGGTTTCCTCCTACCATCCGGGTACTCTGGTTTCCTCTTACCATCCGGGTACTCTGTTTTCCTCCTACATTAAGACCCTACACTACACGCTTACATCCAGGTACTCTGGTTTCCTCCTACTATCCGGGTACTCTGTTTTCCTCCTACCATCCGGGTACTCTGGTTTCCTCTTACCATCCGGGTACTCTGTTTTCCTCCTACATTAAGACCCTACACTACACGCTTACATCCAGGTACTCTGGTTTCCTCCTACTATCCGGGTACTCTGGTTTCCTCCTACCATCCGGGTACTCTGGTTTCCTCTTACCATCCGGGTACTCTGGTTTCCTCCTACATTAAGACCCTACACTACACGCTTACATCCAGGTATTCTGGTTTCCTCCTACCATCCGGGTACTCTGGTTTCCTCTTACCATCCGGGTACTCTGTTTTCCTCCTACATTAAGACCCTACACTACACGCTTACATCCAGGTACTCTGGTTTCCTCCTACTATCCGGGTACTCTGGTTTCCTCCTACCATCCGGGTACTCTGGTTTCCTCTTACCATCCGGGTACTCTGGTTTCCTCCTACATTAAGACCCTACACTACACGCTTACATCCAGGTACTCTGGTTTCCTCCTACTATCCGGGTACTCTGGTTTCCTCCTACCATCCGGGTACTCTGGTTTCCTCTTACCATCCGGGTACTCTGGTTTCCTCCTACATTAAGACCCTACACTACACGCTTACATCCAGGTACTCTGGTTTCCTCCTACTATCCGGGTACTCTGGTTTCCTCCTACCATCCGGGTACTCTGGTTTCCTCTTACCATCCGGGTACTCTGGTTTCCTCCTACATTAAGACCCTACACTACACGCTTACATCCAGGTACTCTGGTTTCCTCCTACCATCCGGGTACTCTGGTTTCCTCTTACCATCCGGGTACTCTGGTTTCCTCCTACATTAAGACCCTACACTACACGCTTACATCCAGGTACTCTGGTTTCCTCCTACCATCCGGGTACTCTGGTTTCCTCTTACCATCCGGGTACTCTGGTTTCCTCCTACATTAAGACCCTACACTACACGCTTACATCCGGGTACTCTGGTTTCCTCTTACCATCCGGGTACTCTGTTTTCCTCCTTCATTGAGACCCTACACTACACGCTTACATCCAGGTACTCTGGTTTCCTCTTACCATCCGGGTACTCTGTTTTCCTCCTTCATTGAGACCTACACTACACGCTTACATCCGGGTACTCTGGTTTTCTCCAACAATCCAGGTACTCTGGTTTCCTCCTACAGTAAGACCCTACACTACACGCTTACATCCAGGTACTCTGGTTTCCTCCTACCATCCGGGTACTCTGGTTTCCTCCTACATTGAGACCCTACACTACACGTTTCCATCCGGGTCAACAAGAGTGATTAATGTGATTTTTTTTTTTTGTCAGTAGTAAAACATAAATACGGCCCTAAAACGTCAATATGAGGTACGGGACATTGAAAACTGACCGTCTCTGATAAAACATAAGTAAATACGGCCCTAAAATGTCAATATAAGGTACGGGACATTGATAACTGACCGTCTCTGATAAAACATAGGTAAATACGGCCACAAAACGTCAATATGAGGTACGGGACATTGAAAACTGACCGCTGTATCAGCAACCAAAGACGTAATAAGTGGTATAGAAGCAATTGTTTCACAATGATATATAATGTACATACCATGCTACGGTCAGTTGTTTTACATCAGTGGTCAGTTTGTTTACTGGTGGTTTCGTGTGGCTCCCATCTGCCGGACAGTCAATTTCAAGTCCGCTGCGTCAATATCTCCACGGTTGTCTAAATAAGGACTTACCGCTGGTCAAAACTGTTGTTCAAATCGGTATTTATCTGCGATAAATATAGCCACTAAGTCCTAATCGATCCTCTTCAAACATGCGATAAACTTAACAACATGACACTTTACATGTCCACCCTCGCTCTAGAAATGGACTCTACTTTTCTTTGATGGAATCACTACTCATTCTGGATTAAGGGTAGGAGGATTAACCAATGAGCTCCTGGTACAAAGCCGGTTATATGTGAAATGTAGCAAAGTGTTACCTGTACACATGAACGTATACACTCCATTCCGGGGGTCAAGGTTGACCGATTTAATACGAAAATTAATTAGTTTTCCGCCCCCTCCCTCTTTTTTGAAAAAAAACCCCACTATCAATCATAACATATTTATTAATCGATTTTCAATTTCTTGTTTGAAGCAGATGTTTATGATATTTCTATGTTCATAATATTTAAATCATTTTGGAAGAATGAACATCAGTAATCGGTTTACATTGAAGTCTGGGCTACCTGGTCGGTCTGTGTGGTGAGCTACCTGTGTAACACACCTGTACAGACTAATTATATATATAAGTACACAAGCTTAAGGATAAACGGTACCATACTGTGACGCGTACCTTTTTCGCAAAAGATTTCTACTCTGAGAAGCCAGTAAAAATATCCTAGCTGGGATTACTTGATTGTTGATTTTAGCTATTCAATTGGTTTTAAATACAGCAATAGAATCGCGAACATAAGTTTTGACAACATCGTTAAAGCCTTCTCCTCAAGTTATTTTACAACTCGCTATGATTATTATTATAGGTATCAAATATACTTAACACTCGCGTATCTGTTAAAACCAAACTACGTATAATCAGAGACGTATAATACAGAGATTGGCAACTCACGCAGATCTCGCAAAAACATGCATCCCTGAGAAACGCTGCGAGACTTGGGTTGCGGCATGAGTGTTTGTTTTGACAGCTTATCGATCCTGGTGACGATAGTCTGGTCAGTGAGTTACCTATGATAATTCGATCGTGTATTCGTTAGTTCGTGTCAACATGTCACATATCCTAGATATATGACTCATATAAAGAAGCTTGTTAGAAATATAATGTAATATCTGAATACGTTTTTGAAATAAATTAACGAACGAGAGAGGAGTGCCGGTGTTATGAAAGGAATTCCATCGCACATCACAGCCGCCGGTTTTTTCAGGGCTCAATTATCAAACTTTGCAAGTATTGTAAAAACCTTATTTGAAAAAGCTGTCTAGAAATTTTATGTTTGAATAAATATCTGCATATGTTTTTGAAATTAAATAATGAATTAGAAAGGAGTTCGTGTTTTAATGTGTTAAGAAAGAAAAAAATCCTCACACGTCAAAGCCGCTATTTTAACTTGTTTATTCTTAAAAACCTGTATTTTCATTGCTAAATTATGAAACTTTGCAAGTATTGTAACAACCTCATTTTAATTTCCTGGTTAGAAATATCATAAAATAAGTAATTTCTGAAGACTTTTTTAAAATTGACTAAAGAACAAAAACGGAGCTCGTATTCTAATTTGTCATGATAGAAATAACCCTCACACATCAAAGCCGCCATTTTAACTTGTTTACTCAGAAAAACTGTATGTTCATAGCTAAATTATGAAACTTTGCAAGTATTGTAACAACCTCATTTTAATTTCCTGGTTAGAAATATTAACTAATAATTAATTTCTAAAAAACCTTTTTGAAATTGTCTAAAGAACAAAAACGAAGTTCGTGTTCTCCTGAAGCCAGAATCATTCCCGATATGTAAACACAGCCACGATGTGCAATCTTTCGATGTTTGGTGTTTTCTAAACTTAATAATTTAAGTTTACATTCAATGTAGCACTCCCAAACCGCATGGAAATCTCAGCTAGCTACGGGTTTAATATTACGTTGATTTTCAATGTTTTCTCATGGCATAATTATGTTTTGAACAGAAAATGATTATTTAATGCAGCGAACCGTATATGCAATATGGCGCAGGTGAAGCGTAACTCGCGAAATGACATCCGGTTACCAGTGACCAATGGTAAGGCCAAGAGCAAGTTGCCAATCTCTGTAACATACGTCTCTGGTATAATTACCGGGTCCATTAACAGGAATGACGAAACACGTTGGTTCTCGAAATTATGGAACGACAAAATTTCAAGCAGTAAACTAAGAACATACAGAAGATATCAAAAGGACAAGTTAACGGAACATTATATAACGTCAGTTCTACCACGTCACTGTCGGAGCCACCTCGCTAAACTCAGACTCGGTTGTCTCCCCTTAATGTTGGAAACTGGACGTTACAGTAACTTGTCAGTAGAGCAAAGTAATGCCCTTTTTGCTTAAAATATAGTGGAAGATGAGTCTCATTTCCTTTGTGACTGTCCTGTGTATAGTGTTATCAGATATGCTCTATTCAAAAACACAGTGAACTCCTTTAGTTATTTTAATGAACTTACTTCAACTGAAAAGTTGTTTTATTTATTGCAGGATAATGCGCTTCAATTTCACTTTCTAAAACAATTTATTTTATGATGAGACGGAGGCGGTCGCTTTTAAATGTGTAAATATACAATTATAAATTATAATGTATCGCAATATTGATTTAACTGTAATGTGATGAAGAAAGATATGTGATTCTACTATTCTATCAGTTTTGACATGTAATACTCTATGAGGATATTTTATATGCATACATGCTAGGTCTTCACTTTCAATTTACAGATGATGTACATATAAATAGTTATAAGTGTCTCATAAGCCGATATCGGCTGGGCATCTTTTATAAACTCGCTGTATATGATATTTTATGAATGATTGTTTGTGAATTTAATGATGAGTGACACTATACTAAAATATTGATTGATCGATTGATTGATTATTATAGCAACTATACATATTAATATTTCGACGAAATTAAGATGAACGTTTGTAAACACGAAATAAACTTCTCTGAATGATTAAGTTAGAAAAAGGTGTTTGAAATAGAGGGAGAATGGGAGAAAATGTGTGTGAGAGGGAGAAGCGACAGACAAAGACAACAGAGATGGAGGAAGATTGAGGAATCTGTTCGTTCAGTTTATTTCTTATTTATAGATACATGTTTATTTATAGATACATGTTTATTTATAGATACATGTTTATTTATAGATACATGTTTATTTATAGATACATGTTTATTTATAGATACATGTTTATTTATAGATACATGTTTATTTATAGATACATGTTTATTTATAGATACATGTTTATTTATAGATACATGTTTATTTATAGATACATGTTTATTTATAGATACATGTTTATTTATAGATACATGTTTATTTATAGATACATGTTTATTTATAGATACATGTTTAAAATCGTTTACTTTTATGTGGGCCTGAACAAAAAACATTTTGTCTCTCACTCGGAAACTTCCTTATCAAAATTTAATACTTCCAAATTGATTATATTATGCGTTTTTAGTTTACCAAACATTTTCACTCTTGCATCCACATATAATGGACGCATACAAAAGTGATACGCGTCTTACGTGACTTTCCGCACTAGCATGGGAGACTTTCAAAAACATGGAATCTATTTTTAACGCAGTGCAACCAATATAAGTCTTCAGACGGTTTGAACTAGGTGACATTTGAGTTGTTGCTTTTTTTAACTTAACAGATAGAATAAAACTATTTTTATATTTGCTTTGAGATGTTCCCATATATTTCAAAATTGCTGATTAAAAGACTACTTGAATCGTGATACTCTACAAAATAGAAGTGCAGATCTTTTTCACTATTTCTTTGTGGTTATTTTCTAAGATCAGTGAAACAAGTTTTTGAATACAGATAATATAGGCGTTATTGTAAGCTGGCTGCATTTTGTTCAAAAGTGAACTTTTGTCTCACTGTCTTTTCACTTATTGTAAAGATTCTCTGCTGGAATATGAAGGTAAACCCGTACAAGTTTCTGTATATTTTCCATACGGATTTAACACAAATACCCCATACTCATATTAGCAATTCTAAAGTTTGTAAAATTCGAGTATGTGATATTTACGGTAAAGTTTGTAAAGCTCGAGTAGGTGATATTTACAGTAAAGTTTGTAAAGCTCGAGTAGGTGATATTTACGGTAAAGTTTGTAAAGCTCGAGTATGTGATCTTTACGGTAAAGTTTGTAAAGCTCGAGTATGTGATATTTACGATAATGTTTGTAAAGCTCGAGTAGGTGATGTGTACGGTGAAGTTTGTAAAGCTCGAGTAGGTGATATTTACGGTAAAGTTTGAAAAGCTCGAGTATGTGATATTTACGGTAAAGTTTGTAAAGCTCGTGTAGGTGATATTTACGGCAAAGTTTGTAAAGCTCGAGTAGGTGATTTTTTACGGTAAAGTTTGTAAACCTCGAGTAGCTGATATTTACGGTAAAGTTTGTAAAGCTCGAGTATGTGATATTTACGGTAAAGTTGTTTTATCCAGATAACGTGTTAGTTGCTTTAATGTCTTTTTCCTTTTTAAAGCAGTAATGTATATATTTTCAATATCCCAATTTAACTCATGAAGAGGGTCTATCAGTAGCGATGGATTTTTACAAGTTCTAAAGGTGGTTTTTTCGGTTAATGTAATACACCACTTTTATAGACAACTCCCGCAAACATTATAAGTCATTATTCATAATCTTTGAATTATCTACAATAACACAGAGCGGTATACTATAGACGACCTGCTATCAGTAACCAGCCGAGGAACATTAATAAACGTGTCTGTAATGTTGTTTATGACGATTATAACAGTAATGGCCCTAACACTGATCCTTATGGTACTCCCGCTTTCAAAAGTTTGCTATAAGAAAATATTTCACCAATAAATATTATTTTGCTGTCTATCTTAAATGTAATTTCTAAACATCTTATGGTTAAAACAGTAATACCATACGATGAAGGTTTATTTCGAGGGCCCGTAATGACACACTAGCTCTATTTTCACAAAATATGAGTTTTTGTCTAAATAGCTAATGGTGTTATTCATGGATTGAAAGGTAACTTTGCAACTGGTTTTGTTTGTTTGTGTGGTTGGAGTTTAACGTCCTCACATAAACTAAGGTCATATGAAGACGCT